TAAAACATCGTGAGACATTATTAACTTTAATTATCAAATAATTATGAGTAAACTACAACAATTAAATTGATATAATAATCAAAATATTATTACAGACGTAATAACTTGAAAGATTTCATGTGGTCTTTGGAAAAAATGGAAAAAATTACTATTTTGCAATTTTCTATATTTTTGGACAACAAAAAGGGTTCGATTCCAAGCGTACACAATACTTGCATCCACTGAGTTTATCAGAGTTGATTTTTTTTTTCAGTCACAATTTGTCGGGATTAGTCCAGATGTAACCTGGGATACCGTTCCATAAAAAAAGCAGTTTATTTATAGTTGCTCGTACAGTTACTCATTATTCCTGTACGATTTGGCAATAGCTTTTTTTAATTGTTTGAATAATTAGTGTTCGTTTTAATCTTTGTAACTATGTCCAAAATATTACGCTTTTTGGATTTTTGTTTTGTTTTATTATTTTAATTATTTATGGTTTGACTATATATTAATAATCTCACGTTAAGCATACGTGACTTATAATATTTACTTCCATATTTCAATGCCCAATCGAAAAGATAAATAATTATTTTGTCAATTTAATAGTTTTCTGTACGAAGTGTATCACCATATATTTTTGTTGTTTTACGAAGTGTGACACAATATATCAGGTAATGTTACTTTATTAATTGTATCATACTGTGTTTTTCGTTATTTTATGAAGCGCATTACAGTGTGCATCATGTGTTTATCGGAATAAGGTTCGTCGGAATAAAGTTCGACGAAGAAAGGAGATATGAGAGGGGATATATAAGATTTTCAAAATACATAAAATGTTCTTTAATTAAAATTTTAAGTCAAATTACCAAAATTATTAGTTTCCTAATTTAACGATTGATTTGTGGTTGAGATTGGATCTTACGGTTATCACAAACTAACCAGTTCTTCATTCAAAACACACACACACATATATATATATATATATATATATATATAGGGTTGGGTTCAGGTGAGACCAGCCTGTTTTCGTGAGACCCGTGAGACCACATTTTTGCATGTAACCTTCACAGCAAAAACACTGAGAAGGTTTAAAAAAAGTCGAACCTTCACAGCAAAAACAATGTGAAGGTTTAAAAAAAGTCGAACCTTCACAGCAAAAACACTGTGAAGGTTTTAAAAAGTCACCTTCACAGCATTTTGCTGTGAAGTTTCAAGTGTAAAATGTTAGTCTCACGGGTCTCACGAAAACAGGTTGGTCTCACATGATCCCAAGTATATATATATATATATATATATATACATAGGGGTAGGTTCATTTGAATTTTTTTTTAGTGAATATGAGGATCAATTTCGACCATTGATTGAAATCTAGATAACTAATCATTGGTGAAAACATAAAAAGGGTTAATTGAGAAGTAATTAGAGGTGAAAATGGAAGTTATGATTTACACCTACACTTTTTATTTTATTTTTTAATTAATTCTTTTTACCTCCTTAAATTTTAAACTAAATTATCTTAAAAATAATTAATATTTTAATCAAATAAATTATATCAGAAAGTCGATCATTTCATTCTCTTCGATATGACATCAATCTCGATATATATATATATATATATATATATATATTTTAATGTTTTTTACATCAAATAGTATATCCGTGTAATATTCCTTATGAATATTTATGCACTTTCATATTTTTGCAACAACTCTATAATATTCATAAATTTGTATGATATTCATCATGAATATACAACTTAGTATAACAGTCATCATGAATAATTATGTATGATCACATATGTACAATAACTATATATTTATATTAGTATGATATTTATCATGAATATTAACTTTCACCATTATATTCATCATGCATATGCTTATTATTCATCATTAATATATTACAGTTTCAACTCTACATACTTTAGTTTTTCTTCTTTTTCTTTATTGGGTTCTCGATTGATCTGATGAGTTCCTTATTCGTCTCGAATAGATTTTTCGATCCATCTCGATAAAAGTTAAAAGTTGTAGATTATAGTTTTACACAAACAGACACACAATAAATTAATCATTAGGTTTTCAATCGGTCTTGATGACAAATGAATGGGTTATTGATTAATCTCGATTAGTGTCGATTTGGTCCCAAGAGGTTGTCGATCGATCTTGATGTAGTCTTGATTGGTTTCAATGAGTTCCCGATCCGTGTCTTGATGTAGTCTTGATTGGTTTCAATGAGTTCCTGATCCGTCTCGATAAAAACTAAAAGCGGTAGCCTATGGTTTTATACACAAACAAATAATAAATCAATCGATAGGTTTTCGATGGAAAATGAAGGTGGTAGGATATGGTTTAACACACATAAACACATGTCAAGTCAATGAATAGATTATCGACCTTTCTCGATCAGTCTCGATGTGTATTGGTTTTCGGTGATGAAGAACACCATGTCTTATAACGTTGAAAAAAATGATGTCGAGTTACGGACTTACGTTGTCAAGTTGTTGTACACACTTGGATGTAAATAAATATTCATAATGAATATAACACACACATATATCATTCCACGTAAAAAAAACAGTTGAAACGGAAAGGAAAAAAAAAACTATATCAAAACGAATGTCATATCAAAAAGATGAAATTCTTGTTTTTTTTTTTTTTTTTTTTATGTAATTGGTTTGATTAAAATATTAATAATTTTTAAGATAATTTATGTTAAATTTTAAGGGTATAAATTTTTTTAATTAAAAAATAAAATAAAAAGTAAAAAAAGGCAAGCATGCGTTGAAAATTAAGTTCCCTTTTACCCTTACCCTAATCATCTTAATTAATAATTTTAATTAAAAACTCTATTTAATGTGAATTGTTGGATCAAATAAGATGGATGATCGAGATTGGTCCTCATGCTTATAAAACTCTATTTTGTTCCTTGGAAGAAACCAAACGTTGGGTGGAAGAAATCGATGTAACTACTAACTAGTAACAAGGGGATTTGATTTCAAAATTAACTCTTTTAGTTTTTCGATCCAAATCTAAAATTATTGTGTTTAGTGATATTTTTTTTAGGGTTTTCCTTTGATTTAGATTTGGGATTTGAGATTTGTTAAATGTTCTTGGTGTTCTTGATATTGGATTCGGATTTAGGGTTTAAGCTATGTTGTTTCTTTATTAAATTTGTATAATTTTGCTGTCAAATGTTCTTGGCGTTCATCATGATGTTCTTGATAGCATATTTGAGGAAGATGAATATTTTAAGAACGGTGTATAATAGAAAAGGAAAAGGTATAATGACAAATTTACCCCGTACTTAACATAAAAAATAAATAGCCGTTCGCCTTAGAGACCAAATCCATAATATAAACCGTTTGCCTCATGGACCAAATGAAGTTAAGGAACCAAATCCGTAACTTACTCTATTTTTAATAGAGAATTTCTTTTTGAAAAGATATAAATCATAATTAATCTTGAGGCGAAGCACCCTTTTTCATATTATGTTTGGACCCATCATGATTAATCCCAAAAGACACAACAATGGAAAGAACTTCTGTTTGACAATTGTTGAATAATTTGGTGCAGAATGATTAAGTAGTCAAAATAATTAAAGAAGCTCTCAAAAATATAATTGGTAATTGTATACAATGAAATTAGGGCTCTTAATGGTTGAGGGAGATCCATGATACACAATCATTCAGAGGGTTTTAGAACCATTAAAAGACAAACTTTTTTTTTGCCAAACAAGATTCACCTCTTAACGATTCAGAAGTTGCCTCTTAATGAAACTATTCAAAGGTAAACAAACAACCCCCGACCACAAGGGGCAAACTTACTGACAACAAACAGCCTAAGATCGAGCAACAGGCATTATTCTGCTTCATAAGGCCTTGACGCAAGGTTCCACAAACCTCGGTATCTCTCATTTCTTCCCCTTTACGCTAGCTACAGATCCCGACCCTAGTCTACTACCATAGTCCTACTTCCAGCAACTCGTTTCAAATGTCAAGTCCTCGGAAATGCCTAAATAAGTAGGCTTTACAGCCTAATCAGCAACAAAACTTAAAAACCAAAGACAGGCATAGGGAGCAAGTGACAACTAATGCAAAGCTTAAACTCATGAGAAATACGCAACAGGCATACAAAGAACAGTATCTGTTGATCATGAGTGACGGCTTAAAGTGATGAGAAATACGCTAATACACAAGAGTAGGCATACAAGAAACGTTATCCATTGATCACGAGTGGCCTAAGACGATGCAGCTTAAAACGAGATAATAAAATATACAAGAATGGGCATTTTATGCATAAACCCAAGTCAAGCATGTGAAGGCATGCTCTCATTGACCATTAATGAAATATAGCAACAATACGAGCCTCATAGCTTTAACCATGTCTGTTCTATAGTGAACTTGTTGAAAGATATGGCATTAATGGAACAAGTAATCAATATCATGTCATGTTGAAGCTAAAAAAATAACAAAGGGGTATGTCAATTCAAACATGTCCCCAATCAACAGCATTTAAACACTTGTACTGCTTATTGATCCAAAATGTCAGAAACACAGTTTAACCTTTCAAAGAAAGGTTTTATGAACACAATATGTCTCGTCTGAATACGAAGGATCGTGTGAGAATAGGAGTTAAGATGAGAAGTATAAGAATAGATTTGGACCCTTGATCACTTTTAATTAGTGTTGATCTAATGGTTCAGAATAAGTCTCAAAATAATCCATGAATTAGCTTAGAAGGGTATTTCCAATTGATCTTCGATTAGGATTGATCGAAGGATGGAGATCCCTTCTTACCCTTCTCACGATAACTACTATTCTTAAGTGGCTGAAAGGAATGTGAAAGTGATACGTATATGATTGATAAACAGTTTCCGTTCTAGTATCAACTAAAAGAGGGTGAATGTTTTCATCTATTCTGCCTTAAGGAATTCATCTAGCAAATTTATTACCAGATGGAGATTCAACGGTCCAGGCCTGACTGGGTTCAAAAACATTGCAGTGAAAGAAACAGAAGATATAACTCATAAAGCACATGCTGAACTCTAGCATTATTAGTTGAATTACACTACTTGAGATAAACCTACAGCAATAACATCAAGCTAAAAAACTTGATGCTTCAATATGTTTCAACTCATATTATCAAACACAATATCTGAAACCGTTAAATGTCTTGGGAAAAATATCCTGAATATTAGAACGCTCATCTTACTTCAAACAGAAGAGTGGAGTAAGAGACGATCTTACCAGTCGCGTGCTGGCATCTCAAGGGTATTCCATCAGTACCTCCTTGGAAAGCGATCCATGAACCTTCCAGATGGGCATTCAAATGCCAGGTGCCCTCTTCCACCACAGTTGTGACAGATCATCAAGGCAACACAATCGCGGCTCATATGGCCCACCTGCTGGCAGTTCCTACACACAATGTCACGGAAGCCGCCCATACCTCGATCACCACCACGCGGGCCACCTCTATCATCAATCATATTTCCCTTAGGGCAATCTCTAGCCACATGGCCCGCTACATTGCACAAGTTGCAAACTGGATCATTCAGGCAATCTCGAGCAAGGTGGCCTGTTTTCCTGCAGTTCTTGCATGCCTTGTCATTCGTACAATCAGCTGCTATGTGGCCTTGCTTGTAGCAGTTGTTGCACAGCCTCATGTCGCCAGGTGGCATGGGAGGAGCTGTGCATTCCCTAGCACGGTGTCCTGTCTTCCCACATGTGTGGCAGATGCCCTCGTTTGGGCAGTTCCCAGCCATGTGACCAGGCTCTCTACAGTTCCAACATAGGGACTTGGTCGTACACTCTGATGCAATATGCCTGTTCCACATTATTTACACATGATCAAGATGTGGAAGAACTTAAAACATGTCAATTACGATGACAAATGAAGACAAAGTACATCTTATATGAACATCTCTTTGATGCAGTTGTATGATGATCATACAACTGCATCAAAGAGAAATTTGAGCATATGGATGAACGATATTTTTGCGGTCTGTTTTCATTGTTTAAAATATTAGAAGCCATGTTATAAGATGATTTTGGCAACCGTTTATTTGATTTAGTAACCAGAATCCTGAATTGACCAGTTGGTAGTTTATTAAACTTGAAATGGAGAAGAATGTTTTCAGAAGGTATTTCAGAAGAACATGTATCAACTATGTATGAGAAAGTTCTTTTATTTGAAAGCCATTTTAGAAACACGCACACTATAGTTGTTTTCTTTTAACGACTTCCCAAGAAACAATTTCCATTTCACAAATAACTTCATCAAAAGGTTTAGAAACCAAAAAAGGTCTATATGCAGCCAAAAGGTTTAGAAAGCTGTACAGCAGTATCATCCAATTGTCATATAACAAATCCACAATATGTGCATCATCAACAATCTTACCCTGGAAGTCCACAATTGTGACAAATGGCCACATTAGGGCATTCTCTAGCATAGTGACCTGGGCGTTTGCAATTTTTACACAGATTGCTTTGGCTGGAAATGAGAGAAGTTAACAACAGATGTTAAGAGATAAGCAGAAAATTGGATCTTCAGATGCTGCATGCTGTTATGGCATATGTAGCAAAAAACACAAATTACGTTCCACAGTCTATCATAGGAGAGTGAAAGGTGTGTATGAACAAGGATCTATCAAGAATGAACAAGCAGCTAGTATAATGGATATGTGCCATGTGAAATTTTGAGAATGAAGGTCAGAAAATGAATGTTAAACAACACACTGACAAGGATTTAGCAACTAAATGAATGAGATAAACCAAATATACTGAGAATACGGAATGCTACTTTTCACCAAATGTGATGCCAAAACATCACTGTAAGTTGATACAAGATAATCGTAAGACTGTCTTTGATACCCTTTGCCCGCATATTTATCTTATTTAAGCATTCCTTTAATCTAAAAGGCACGAGACACTAAGCATTATGGCATCATGAGCTATTGTTCATGCTTAACAGTTTCTTATTCTCGAATCATGCATAAAATACGCAGCTCAAGTTTGTCTATGCCAAATTATACTAAACCATATGCTCATGGTTAAAGCCACACCATAAAGGAGACAATGTAGACATAAAGATGATACTTCATGATAGTAACAATAGTGAACAGAACAAGAAGCAACAAAAATGTGAAGAACCAGAAGCAAATTTATTCTGAGTTCAGGTATTGAGATCCTCAGACATTCAGACAGAAGCATCATCAGCTCCGATGTCCATCTCTAGCAGAACCCATATCTTTGTCTCCTGGTCTCCCACCAACGTCCAACGTATATGCTTATTCAAAGAGAAGAATTAACAACAGTATATAATTGAAAACCTGTAGCCCCGACGAGATTCCCTCCTGTATGGAGCATCACGATAGGAGCTGCGCTGAGTACGGATCTTGCGATCCATGGGGCTCCTGCTCCTGCTGCGGCTCCTGCTGTCTGAGCTCATTTCCAAATCCCAGTTTAAACCAACCACCACCGAACTGCAATACAACACCCACCTCCTCTACAACTGCTGCCTCCACCCTGCCCATTGCAACCACACCCAAGACCATATCCATGAGACAAAATCCAATCATACTTCACTCCATATCCCAACTACAGACGCAAGTATTTTTCAACAAGCAAACCACCATGAATCACTTACATACCAGCACCATGACACTGCTGACCTACGTACCCAACACTCACCACATCATCATTAAGAAACTGGCAAACATCACATGGCCAATAATTTAACTTACTATAGTGTTACAATAGTGAAAGAGCATCAAAAGCCAGCTCCAGCTTCACAGGTTACAGCAACAAGCCTTTCAGTACAAACTAACTGGGATAGGCGAAGAAGAAAACAAAAAGAAACTACAAAATGATGCAACCTAAAATGGAAACATAAGGAGGCTTCACCATTAATTTATAGCAAGCATAAGTTTCAATCTTTTTCACATAGAAGAGCGTTTCCCATTTTGTAACACTTTATAAGCATGTACAACCCTTATGAACATCATCTGACAATACGAGTTTAAACTTTTACACAGAATTGCTACTTTCTCTGCACACAACTTCGTAAAAGAACTTGACTATATCCAAATTCCCAAAATACCCTTCACAAAATTAAATTATGAGTCCTTAAAGTTAACACATTTACTTTTGTATGCATAAAATGGGGGTAAATTGGTAGTTCTAACATCATTTTTCCAGCATAAAAATGTTGCAACTCAGGGGGGGAGCAAGTACAAAAGAGTTTTGAAGTGGCAAATTGATCCGTACTCCGTAGCACGATCTCACATTTTCCATGGACAAACAACGCGTGGCAATATGGGGTTAGGCTTGACACAGTAGCTACGCAAACCCATAAAAGCAGCAGAGGTCAATGCACAACATCATAGGCCCGATGCCACATAACCGACATGCATGTGTAATCCTCAAATCGAAGTTGCAGTCAGAAGCTTCTTCCGCAGAATCAAACGACCTTCATCTCGAGTTACAGATATGAATGAACATATCTTTTCACGTGGATGAGCTTTATCGACCGGCCTCTTAATATGTAAATCCACAATACATACTCGTGGGTGAAATCAAGCTAAAAGCGTTACAAATTACTCAAGATCCCTAAATTGTTATGTTCACCAACAAACTATGCATAAAACAACACAAAAATAGGTTCTTCCATTTCTCAATCAGGAACGCAACCAAACTACATATTAAAAAAACCCCTCTCCTAATCGGCAATAGAAAATTTGGGAAATAAATCTAAATTATAGATCTAGTTCAAAGGAAGTTACATGAGATCAACGAAATACCTGACTGAAATTCCTTCAATTCGGTATTTTGTTGTGAGCGTGCGAAGAGAGAGAACGACGAAATTAGGGTTTTTTTTCTTCTGGACGTAAAGGGGGCCAAAGGGATGATGCAATTTATATCTATATTAAGAAAATAAATTTCGTATCAGCCCCCTAAACTATATAAAATGATATTTAACCCCCCTTAAACTTTAATTTTTCTTTTGTAGATTTTCCACTCGATGATTTGGGACCACTCCTTTCAAAGGGTTGGGTTCTGTTGAGACATGAGACCAATGCCCGTTACCATTAGGATTGTTTGTGATATGGACAAAAAACACGAGGGTAATTTTGTCCAACATTTTTACAGAAAGATTGCATTTAAATTATATTTCAACGATCTGAGGTGACATTGATAGGTGGAGTCACGTTCTCCCTCATGATGCAAACCTCGGCTAAATATCTTTCATTGATATATCATCAACTTCTAACGATTTTGACAACAAAAATTACGTTGTGCATTCGGCAAAATACAACAAATAAACTCACACACCTTCCTCACCTTTGGTGATGTTTGAATATCTCCTAGAAGGCCAAATGCTACAATACTGCTAGGTCAAAGACCCATTAATAGGATTTCTTATATTTTACAATCTTGTTAATGATTTATTATGTTTTACAATGTACTTAATCAGATGCTATATTTGTTAATGATTTATTGTGTTTTATACTGTGTATTATCACATGTTATATTAGTAATGCATCCTGTTTTTTTTACCATTTAACAATATCACATGTGATACTGGTATATACTTATATATTCTGCTTTATAATTACTTTTATTTGTAAACCATTATCATACAAGTTCCCCATACTGACACGGATTGCTCACCCCCAACCATGTATGCAATTAAACAAGGCAAACGAGGTAGGAGCATACACGAAGTGGGGTCAGGAACCAAGGGGTTACAGCCTCACATATTTCCCTCTGTGTTTACTCCCCTAATTAATGTAACGTTAAGAAATTCACTTCAAAGTGACTTCGATCGATTATTTATAGAACATATAATATCGTAGATTTAATCCATAATTATTGTCATCAAGACATCTTGCCATTCCGCATGTAAGAACGAGTACCATCATAATCGATAGTAGCTAGGTGTCTCACCCTTTAATTCGCATGCATCGATGATACGGTAACTTATTTAAGAGCATAATGTCGTATAAGATCTTAAATAACAAATACTCAAAACATACATAACAGAATAGCTTGCACAATCTTAATCATAACCAATTAATGTAAACAACGATAAACGACTTAGACGTCTTATAAGTCTAAATACACACTTGTTCTCAACATTCATATAAAAATCCAATGTAAGTAACATGATGTCGGGTGCGACTGTATAGGAAATATTATAATACAATATAAATTTGACGATTTCATTAAGTTAAAATGATACCATACAAAAAATTTCATGGACGGACCTAATAGAAAGGGGGTCAATTGTCTCAATGAGTTTTAAAAAAAATTATAAATTAACTACAAGGGGGTGCCTGATTGGTTTGAGCTTGCCTCCAAATGTCAAAAGTACCAATAGGTCTCAGGTTCAAATCCAAGGAGGAATAAAAATCCTTTTGTGGCCACGGAGGTTCAAATGCGGTGACTCCGGGCTACCCGCAAAGCAGATGGTTGCCCTGGGATTAGTCGACTCGCATAGCGGTTTGGAATTGAAACATAAGGGTATACAACTTTGACAAACTCTAGAATTTCAATGACCAACACTGATTTATGTGGCAAAGTCACCTACAACACCTTTAATTCAGGAAAAAAAAAAGATCAGTTAAATCAACATTAATCATATTATTATGAAGCAAAATTAACACTGATATTCATTCTCATCCAATGATTTTAGCTTGTCTGAGTCAAATAAGAATCCAAAAATAATTCAAACTAGGGGCGGGTCAGGGAAGTGATATCGAGTGATGATTCGTTGATACAACCGAAGACATCGATCTTTTATTTTGTAAATATTTTGTTATTGTAAATTTAAAGTTTATAACCGTCGGTTGTCCAAATTCTTTTTGATGGATGTAATTAGCTTATGTCGGGTTTGTTTTAGTTGCTCGATATCTGACCCATTATTGATTTGTTTTTATAATATTTATTAGGATTTTATACCCCAAGTCAAAATATAACACCGCCGACTGTCCTTGGCCATGCGGAACAGGGGGTGTTTACATGTACCAAAAAATTTAAAAAAACATAGGATATGTATCAAATTTTAAAAAGGATAACAAGTCACAACGCATAAAAAACACCATAGATGCAGCATAAATACCATCACTTATATTTCATATATAAGGTAATTTTGTAATACATCTTGATAATAGAGTTCTCTCACGTTCACAGTGATCTCATCCATGTTTTGGCAGATTCCGGTGTTGGTGCCATTGAAGGCGCTGATATTTAAGCATTTGGTGCAAATGTTGGTGTTGATATTTGAGCATTTGGTGTCAGTGCAGGTGCTGATATTGGAGCATTTGATGGCAATGTTTGTGGACTACGAGAATGATGGTGGTGATGATGCTGCTTTTCATGCTCATGCTTGTGATGGTGATGGTGATGGTGTTTGTGCTTATGTGAGGATTTTGGTATCGGAGCTGATGCTGGTGCATTTGATGGTGGAATTGTAAAAGGCACATCTTCACCGTTTATGCCTGGTCCCAAATTCACCAGACTAGCATAAATTTCTTGAAGATCTTCATCTGAGAGAGTTATATCACTGTTGCTATCAACAACCGTTGATGTCGGAATGACTCTAGCAATGATTGGTGTTGTGAGAACCACCACTGCAACAAACAAAATAAATACATCTCTGGTATTCATGATTTATTGATGTTAAACCAGATGTTATAATGCTAGAAGAGGGGTCTGCTTTTTTATAGGCTGAAAACCTTAGAAATATAACAAATGTCCTTTTCATTTATGCAAATAAAGTCACTATGCATTTATTCACCATCCATAAATGGTCGAAGCAAAATATATTCTCATTAAATTTTATGAAAACCATCAACAAATTTGAAAATGCTGATTTTCTTACCAAATAGTTAATTTGGTAGAATTAAATTACATAGCTTATATGGGGTATTCTATATATACCCCCTTCTTCATTTTAGCTCCGATTTGGCTCCGGAAAGTACCATTGGAATCCTCTTTGAATTCTATATTCAATAAGACTATAGAATCTTGAAACCAGAGACGGATCCAAAAAATTTTTTAAACGGTGGCACCATTTGACCATAAGAAAAAAATATAGAAATTTTTTTTCAAATGGTGACACCGTTTGACTATAAGAAACAAATATACATAATTTTTTTTTAAAACGGTGGCACCGTTTGACTAAGAGAATGACACTAACATTATTCGGACTTGGGTGTAGGGTGGAATAAAAGCCTTGCAAACCAACTCTACCAAATAAAACTTGTTCTCATTGTAGTTTCAAAATACATACAGTGGCACACAACAAATTAATACGGTTGCACCGTTCACGAAACCTAAATTTTTTATCCTTCGACGGAGAAACGATACGGTGGCATGTGCCACCCATGGCACTTAACTAGGTCCATCTATGCTTGAAACTAAGCTCAAAATATCAGATTTCTTCTATCTCTCTTGATAGGTCGATTCGTATACAAACTTGCACTAGCTTATAGAAAAACGTTTTGGTTGTTTGGAAAACGAGTTAAACTACACCAGAAAGTGGTATACAAATAATGCCAAAAATGGTGTTATCAGAGGTGCTAAAGGCATGGGGAGTAGGAATGGTGGCAACAGAGGTAGGTGCGGTTTATTAACAGATATATGTTTTGTTGTATCCATAACGTCATTCTTGATGACTTTATTCATTTTTGTTCTAATTGATGTTGAAAATGTTTTCATTATGATCACAACATCGAGGCATGGGATGGTGATAGGAAACAACGAGTAGGGTGTTGCTAGTCCTGCCACTTTTAGCTACCATCTAAATGCAATGTAGTTAAAATGAAACAATTGTTTTAGTTCTCTGCAACTTCTTTTTTCTTGTCATCAAAACCTCGAATTCAACCACAAGGGTGGTGCCTAATTGGTTTGAGCTTGACTCCAAAGGTCAAAAGTACCAGGAGGTTTCAGGTTCAAATCCAAGGAGGAATAAAAATCCTCTTGTGGCCAGGGAGGTTTAAATGCACTGATATCTGCAAAGCAGGTGGTCACCCTGACATTAGTCGGCTCGCATAGCGGGTTGAATATCCAGGTTAATTAAAAAAAAACTCGAATTCCCACTGTGTGAATTACGACAATCCATAAAAACATTTTTTTGATCATAATATTTTGTTTAATTAATTTTCATGGTGGTTCTAAATAACGGGTTAAGCACTATTATAATAGTCGTAACGAGCAAAATAAAACCTTTTGCGACACCTGTTGGTAACATAGACTTATGCATCTTCAAACTTAAAAGACGGTCTAATTTGTTTATGTATTATGTCCTAAATATCAATTTAAAATTCCCAAACCCATTTTAAAGGCGTCACTATAAACCACAAAGTCTTCGAATCATTCGGGTAAGGATAAGATCAGTGCTTGATACAGTTTCTTCTAAATAGTACAAAATGCTTTATCTTGGTCGATCAATTCATATTCACTTCACATTCTTATTCATCAAAGCCATCAAGGAAAAGCGTAATGGTTGTCTTACTCAATCAACAGTATCAATATCCATCATAATAATCTTCTTTATATATATATATTAAAAAAGTATATTGTGTCTAGGGGTGTGCATCGGGAGGTTCGGGTGGGAAAACCAAAAACCCGATCGGATTTCAAATAAGGAAATCAAACCGCAATTTTTGGATTTCGGGTTGCTTCGGGTTGAGGTCGGTCGGGTTTAGTTATAATGCAATATATATATATATATATATATATATATCCAATTGATTTTGACGATGAATTCAATCGATTTAGATGATTGATAAATTGATAGTATGCTTAGAAATTAGAAAAAATACGACTGTCTAAGTTTTTTAGAATTTTCAAAAGATAATTAGATAAATAAGCATATT